TCCAGAATAGGGATCCAGAGTGGAAACTGGGAGAGGTTGCTAAAGAGAAGTATACCTCTTCAGCTCGCAGTTGTAGGGAGGCAGTTAGAAAGGCCAAAGCTGCCATGGAGCTAAGGATGGCATCCCAAGTTAAGGATAACAAAAAATTGTTTTTTCAGATATATAGGGAGTAAAAGGAAGGCCCAGGGTGGTATAGGACCACTATTGAATGGGCAAAAACAATTGGTGACAGACAGGGGGAACAAGGCTGAATTCCTCAATGAGTTCCTTGCCTCAGTGTTCCTGAATGAGGGGCAAGACAAGTCTCACAATGGGATGGTAGAGAGGCAACAGCAGGGAACCAGACTACCAAGCGTTGACCCTGAGATGGTGCAGAGTCACTTGGAAGGACTGGATGCGTTTAAGTCGGCACGCCCAGATAAGCTCCGTCCGAGGGTACTGAAGGCACTGGCTGATGTCATTGCACAGCTACTGGCAAGAATATTTGAGCACTCGTGGCGCATGGGCCAGGTCCCGAAGAACTGGAAAAGGGCCAATGTGGTCCCTATTTTCAAGAAGGGGAGGAAGGAGGATCCAGGCAACTATAGGCCAGTCAGTCTCACCTCCATCCTTGGCAAAGTCTTTGCAAAGATTATTAAGGCTCATATATGTGAAAGCCCAGCAGGAAATTTATGCTGAGGGGAAACCAGCATGGGTTCGTACCAGGTAGAGCATGCCTGACTAAACTAGTCTCTTTTTATGATCAGGTTACAAAGCACCTGGACGCAAAAGTAGGAGTAGATATTGTTTACTTAGACTTCAGGAAGGCCTTTGATATGGTATCCCACCCCATAATGGTGAACAAATTAAGAGGCTGTGACTTGGATGATTACACAGTCCAGTGGGTGGCAAACTGGCCAGAGGGTCATACCCAGAGAGTGGTGGTGGATGGGTCGGTACTGACCTGGAATGACGTGGGCAGTGGGGTCCTGCAGGGCTCGGTCCTTGGACCAATACTCTTCAATGTCTTCATCAGTGACTTGGGCAAGGGAGTAAAGTGTACTCTGTCCAGGTTTGTGGATGATACAAAACTGTGGGGAGAATTGGACACGCCAGAGGGCAGGGAACAACTACAGGCAGACCTGGACAGGTTGGACAAATGGGCAGAAAACAATAGAATCCAATTTAACAAGAAGGAATGCAAAGTGCTGCACCTAGGGAGGAAAAATGTCCAGCACACCTACTGCCTAGGAAATGACCTGCTCAGCAGCACAGAAGCAGAAAGGGATTTCGGAGTCATAGTGGACTCCAAGATGAACATGAGT